CCCAAAGCTGGTCTGGGCTGGCTGGTGTAAAGCCTCGGAAAAGTCTAGCTCGCCTGCCACACACGGAGTGGGAGTGGGTGGAGAAGGGATGACTCAACAAGCATATTTCCATGTCATCCTCACCACATGCTCGCCTGGTCCTCCTCGCGCAGCTTCACCACGTTGTCAAGACCCAGGCGCCGGGCCAACTGAGATGGACACACACAGGGGTTGGCAGGGGCGAGGTTCGTTTGACACATGGCTTCACGCGGGAATGTTCGCCACAGGTTCGCCGAGTCATCACATCACGTGTCTTCACCACGTTGTCAAGGGCCAGGCGCCGGTAGAATTGACAAGGGGACGAGAAAGAATTGGTTAAGCGTAGCCTGGGCGTGGGAGGAGAGGGGTGTGTTTGAGAAATGTCTTCTCAAGGCATCCCCACCCCAGGTTCGCCGGGTCATGGAGCATCTTCACCACCGTTGTCAAGAATCAGGCGCCGGCCAAACTGACAAGGGGACGGAGGAAGGAAGGGGTTGACTGGGGGTGCGTGGGTGGTGGTGCAAAACGGTTCATTTGAAACAGGTCTTCACAGGCCATCTTCATCTTATGTTCGGTAGGAACAAGAGAGTGGGCCGAGGAGAGCAAGAATCGAAGGGTTTCCTTCTAGACTGGTTAGTTATGATGCTAGCGCCACGTCAGCTCCTCCTCCAGCAGTTTGCGAACCAGCTGAGGTGGCCGACGGGATTGGGGGTTGATGGCACGGAGGGAATGAACACGAGCATAAAAATTGAGTAGATAACGAAAGAGATAAGCATACCATTGCGTCTGGAAATATTGTATGCAACATACGAGATTTGGCTCCAAGAGAAGCAAAAAGGAAGAGAGGCACAAAGGGACAGATGTACCACGGAAGATAGGCACACAGGAACAAGGCACACATGGAGAGAAGCACAAAGGAACAGATCGCCAGCCGAACAGAGACACAAAGGAACAGAGGCACGGAGGCACAGCGGCATATGGGCACAGAAGGGGAGAGACGATTGTATTACTGCCTGAGCCTAGATCCATTGCGTCTGCCAGCCCAGAGCGACTGATTCGCTCAATGAATCGGAGCCGCGGACTGTATATCTCGGAGATTCGTAACAAACGGCACCGTGGGAGGAACTAAATCCACAGCTTCGCACAAACAACTCACCGCCGAGCACAGAATTAGCGTGGCAGCAGAGCACCACGGAATGAGGCAGGAACGGAAAGCGTGAATTCCGGCAGCGGTACGCAGAGAGGAAGGGGGGATGGACGGCCTGTAGAGGCAACGGAACCGGGGGTAGGAGGGGTACGCATCGAGGAATGGATGGAATCAAGAACGCGAGAGATGTCCGCTTTAGCACGCGAAGGAACGGGAAACGCTCGCATCAGTGCGTGGAAGGCACAATATATCGTGACGGAATGAAGGCGTCCGCGTGACCGTGGTCAGCGAAGCCTAAGGGCTGTGTGTGAATATACATAGGCGGTGCGAATGACACGTAGAAGGGAAATAAAATAATTGGCGGTATATAAAGTGCTTTCAATGTCACTTTCCTTGCACGGAGGTAGTGCCATGACTCGGCGTACACGTAGAAAACATACTTTAAAGCATACTATGGCGTTTAGGACCAGCTAAACGTTGGCGCGGCCAAGGAGCAGAGGTTTCGCGACACCAAAAAAACAATTGCGCTAATTATGTAACTCTGTGCCGAAAGTCGATCGAGTTGAGAGATTCTTATCCGCAAGGCGCCACGAATTTTAAATTCTGGAGGGTTGAAAAGCCTGGGTCGAACTATGGCTGTCAGCGCGACTCGAGAGAAACGTGAGATGTGAGGTAAAATAGTGCTTTGACGAGAAAATATTAGTGAGCGGATGCAACGAGTGCAGTGGGAGTGGGGGGAATGGGAAGTTTTGAAGGTGTTTGAAGAGGTTGTCCCCGCAAAAAGAAAACATTTTTGCGGTTTTGGTGGGTTCACCCTTCGAGGTCTAGTGTTTGGGCTAGTGTTCGAGCGATTGATTGGCTACTCCGAGGAAGGCCTCCCCTGACTCCAGCTTTTTGGGGGAGAACTCCTCACTACTCGGAGTACGATTCGGGCACGATTTGTCGGTGTACTCCTCCGAGCGTGCCAACGCGACAGTAGCTTACTCGGAGTTAGGTCGGAGTTAGGGCTACCGATCAGGGCGCCAATATGCAAGTCTAACTTGCATTGACAATTGTGCAAAAGTGGCATACCGTACTACTACCTGTGAACAGACATGCCATACCATCCTAACAATAACCAGGTTTGGAATGGGGCAGAAGCATGAAGAAGGCAGGGTAGATTTTTGCAGAGAGTTTGTTGACATGTTGTTTACCCAACTTCAGGTGGGTTGATTAGGAGCAGGCCCTCAGAAGTCAGCGAAAAAAGGCTGATTAGGGGTAAAAAGGCTGTGATTTCAGTGGTGGGGGAATATTGAGGCTGCTGTGTCAGTTTTTTTTTTTTAAGTGTTTGCTGAAAGTTCAGTTTTTTTTAATCGGTTTTTGCTGAAATATCAGATTTTTTCCAGTAGGCTGTATCGTCAGAGTTGTAAGAAAGGGTTGGGCTGAAATCCCTGTAGTGGAGATTCGCGTAAGAGCCCTGAATTCCGGACGTCTAGGTACACTGCTTCGACCCCGCCTCCGTCAATCACGCCGAAATGGCAAGATTCCTTGCCAACGCATTCGGGAATGGCATCATTCCCGAATGTTCACTTCACTGCTGTTTTATCGCGAAGGTATCTTCGCTCCTGATTGGTTGTTTGGGCAACCACATCACTCTCTGGCGAATGGAAAGTCAACAGCGCTGCACAACGCACGCACGTTGCAGCAGCACAGCACCACAAAATGGTTGCCGCGCGATTAGGAAACCCCCCCACCCCACCCACCCCGAAGCTGCAACCAGGTACGTGCATGGGGCGCGTCGCCTTGTATCGTGGCACGGTTAGCTTGCCAACCAAGCCCGCTTCATCAGATCGTTCTTGCATATCCCCAGGCAGTTGCTGGACTCCCCCACCCCACACCCTAGCCCGCTAGGGTTTCATTTCTGTTCCTTCGCCCCTAGCACCAAACAATTTTCTGCACGCTCTCTCAGTGCTCGGCACGCTCTCTCTGTGCTCGGCTCGCTTTCGTCTCTGTTCCGCCATGGCTGGCCATGGCGCCGGCCTTTCAGACGACGAGGGTGACGCCGATGTAGACGACGCAGATAGCATCGCCATAGAAGAAGCCCGTACTGGGCTAGATCTTCTGCTAAGATCTTTAGGCCGCCAACTACCACCTCCAGCGCCCACTGCACCCGGTCCGGTTCCTACAGTGGCGGGTAACCCGAACGTGCCTTCCAGCCCGGATTCCATCCGGTCCGTCCCTCCCGCACCGCCCGGTGTTTCCGACACCGTTCACATCGGCACATCGGCGTCGAAGTCGTCAGTACCGCGCACAATCAAGCTTAAGCAACAGAAACTGAGCTTCTGGAAGCCATCATCCAACGTCCCCGTATCTGAAGCTGTTGTCAACGAAGCCACCGTGCGCCCGTCTCTGGACATCAACGTTCAGGAGATTGTTGATGCGATTTTTGCCGAGGCACTGGATAAGTACAAAAGTAAGTGGATTGAGCGTTTCCCATGGCTTGTACTTACCAAAACTGTTCGTGGTCTGCCTGATTTCAAATGCAGTCTCTGCACGAAGCACGCCGGTGTCAGGGGACGTTGCGGCAGGACAGGCAAAGGTGCTACCGACGTCCAGACGCAGGCCTTTCGCAAGCACGCCGGGACGAGGAAACACAAGCTGGCACTGGAGAAGCAAGAGGCCCTGCTTGCTGCCGCGTCTAAACAGCCCCGCATCGACGACCATCGTGCAGCGGTCGAACCTGGAGAGTCGGCTGAGTGACTTGGACTCGTTGTCGGGAGTCCGACTGTTCCTGCCGGATGAGTGACCGAAGAGCAAGTTGGAGCGTCACGCACGATGCGTTGAGTGGCTGCAGTCGCTGGTGACGCTGTTCAAGGCAGAGCAGGCAGAAGACATACTGCCAGGTGGAGTTGTGTTTTCTGTTTGTTTCAATGCCATCGTATTGTTTCTCTTTACAGCCAATACACCTCCTTCCCGTTTGCTTAAGTCATCACTAAGCCCCGTCTTGCATTGTTTCCTCCCCCTCCACTTGTTGCCATGCCAGGTATCAAGAAGCGGCAGGCCCACAAAGAGCTGCGACTGTTCTGCTCCGTCCGTGCCTCTGCACCGAAGGGGGAGAGGTCTTTCCACGATGGCCTCACGGCAATTTTGAAGACTCCTGACTGGCGGGAGAGTTACCCCAACCTGGTGCTGTTGTGGGTAGCAGTGGCGGTGATTCCCCTTAGCACTGTGGAGTGCGAAAGGGGCTTCTCCCGCCAGAACGTGATCAAGTCCTGGCAGCGGAGCAGCCTCAAAGATGCACGGCTGGGAGACCTGATGTGCATGTCTCTGATGCCGTACGAGCCACGGTTCGACGAGGTGGTCGACGTTTGGAGAAGCTACAAGAAGAGAAAGCCGTTCTCTAATGCCCCTATTTCCACCCAAGGGGAAACCAGCAAGAAGGGTAGAGCGACAGCTATGGAATTAAATGAACCCCATGCTGTAGAAGATGTAGGCTCTAGTGATAGTGAGGATGAAGAAGATGACGAGGATGATGATGATCTTGATAGTTAATTGTAATTCTTACAAGATATGAGTGGATCAGACTTCACCGCAAAACGACGCTGATCGTTCAGCTTTTTTTCTCCTAGACACCCTGGAAAATCAGTTTTTTTTTTACCAACTCCACTGACCACTCAGCCATGAATCCATTCCTAAGGATGACTAGTCAGCCTACGCCAAAACGAATCTGAGGGCCTGATTAGGAGGATTTTACAGCAAACCTCCAGTAAATGCACTGCCATCTGCACAGCAATTCTTGTCCGCACTTCACCAGAATCACAAATATCCCCTCTCCTGGTGAGCTACAATGCCAAGCTCAGTGCCAGATACCTCCACCACCCAAGGCAACGTCCCCTGGAGTGAGCTTGGACTTGAGCGGGTCAGGCAGTTGTGGTGTTGGGGCGTAGAACTTGCCGATGGTAGCCTGGAGAAATAGCACAGGACGGACGGAGGGTAAACATGAAGAGCAAATGCAGTGTTGTCTTGACAAAAGAAAACAGTGGATATGCTGCACAAAAAACACCCCCCTGAGCCCTTGCATTCTGTAAACGATTTTTTGAAACAATCACCAGCCGACAAGCATCCAATACACCCATGCAAAGAAGAAGACGAAAAAAGAGGCACCTGTGGCAGCATTTCGTGCACAATGGTAAGCATCCAGTCGCCATTGGTGGAGACAATAGCAGCGGTGGGTGGGCGAATGGCCGCCCTGAGTGATGCCAGCGAGGGATGGTCCAGGAATGCCGGCTCCATCACCATCCACACGTCACGCGCGCGACCACCTCTGCGCGAACAGAAAGTGGGTTGCAGGTGGGAAACCGGAATGGTGTGTGTGAATGTGGGGGGGAGGGGACCAGCGGACATGAACATGTGCTGACAGCGCTACTTCTCCCGGACATCAGCATGCAGTTGTTCTCACGTCCCAAAGGGCTCTTCTAGGGTTGAACGCAGTGCAGTTACCACAAGGCAGGTCGACCGGGAAAGGCTGGTGGGTGGGTGTACCTTTGGCTTCTCCTGATGCCATCTGCTAGCACCTCCTCTAGCAACGCGCCCTTGTCCCTGGAGGCATGGGAGGCGAGAGACAGAGAGAAGGAGGGACGGATGGAGTCCGAGCAAAGGACAAAGGGAGATGGAGAGAGAGAGAGTGATGGAGTGAGTGAGAGAGGGAGACGGAGAGAGAAGGTGCTGAGAGAGGATGGGTTCATGCAGCACAAAAGCTATAACGGTGGGTGACAGGCGTGCGATCAAAGCAGGCCAGAGCAATCAATGAACGAAATATAACCATTGCTACAGAGGAAAATCATGAGACTGAGACAAGTAATCAACAGCAACCTAATGGATTTTGAGTCAGGTAGGAGGGGGGAAGGAAGGATGACAAGGGCAAGGCCTTACATGAGGCTGTAGGCATTGGCGAGGGCGAAATAATACACCTGCCAGCCATGCACCGTATTCGGAAAGGAATGATGACACGAAAGGCTTTATGATAATATCAAACAAGAAATAACGGCAAAATATTAGAACCTGGCAGTCATTTTACACCAGGGCAAGGAGGCCTAAGAAATCCCAGGGAAGACCAGGGCAGAAAAGCCCAGGCAAGCCCACACACCTATAATGCGAGATTCAGACCACAAACTCCAAAGCACAAAAAGCACGTGGCTCTTACCCGTGGTTTGGACAGATCCAGCATGGGAAGAGCAGGGCGGGCCACTTCTCTCCAGTCCAAGCCGCCAAACGCGCCGCTCTCTTGCTTCTTCTCGTCCTTCTTGGCTGCACTGCTCCCTTTCGCCCCGCCTGCGCTTTCCCCAGTCCCCTGTCCCCCTCCGAATCCCTTCCCCCCTGTCCCCGTTGAGCAACACACCCCTCTCCGCCTGCTCCGCCCTTCCCCCCAACTCCGCCCCGCATAGCTCTCCGCACTCCCTTGTCTTCCGCGGTTTCCCCAGTCGCCCCCCGAGCTAATGTCGCGGCGGAGAGTAAGAGTTTCCGCCCATTTTCCGCCTAAACATCCGCCTGACGCATTCGAAGCGCGCGATTGGAAGACTCGGGAAGGAGGAAATCGCGGTGACGCGGCGTGAGAAGCGGCGAGATGCGGTGAGGCCAGAAGCCGGGGCATTATGGAACGGGAATGGAAGTATTGGAACGAACCGCGAAGGAGTGGGAACTGGGAGGAAGAAAAGAGGGAGGAGGGAGAGGGGTGTGAAGAGCGACGGCCGTGCGCGGCGGACGCGAAACGAGAAGCTCGAGGCGATCAGGTGTGAGCGAATGGTGATCAGGCGATCAGGCGATCAGGCGATCAGGCGATCACGAAAGAATGGTGAAGGACGTGCAGTCAGCGGTTCGGTCCTTAGTCGTCGTGATGTGATGCGCGTAGAAGGCGGGAGACCAAGAACCTGCTGAAGGAGCGGAACGAAGTACGGCCGAGGCCGCGCGGCGACTCCAGACACAGCAGGGACAGCACCAGTACCCCCAGCGGCAGCACCAGCGCCAGCAGCACCTCCACCTCCAGTACCTCCAGCAGCACCAGGAGCACCCCCAGCAGGACCGCCTCCAGGAGCGACAGCAGTAGCCTCAGCGCCAACACCCTCAGCAGCTCCAGCTCCAGGCGTACCCGCAGGCCCAGCAGCTCCAGTACTCCCAGTACGAGCACCTCCGGGACCCGCGGCACCAGCACCCGCAGCAGTCGAAGAGCCTCCAGCTCCAGCAGCACGCCTCCAGCGTCGGGCAAACCACTCTCGCAGCTCCTGTGGAGAGAGTGGCTCCCGCCGAGACGAAGCACCCGGAGAACCTCCAGGCTCAGCACCGCCAGACGCCACACGAGCAGGCCCAGCTCCCTCAGGCTCCGCACCCCCAGGCTCAGCACCTCCAGGCGTAGCACCCCCAGGCTCAGCACCCCCAGGCGTAGCACCCCCAGGCTCAGCACCCCCAGGCTCAGCACCCCCAGTAGCAGCACCCCCAGGCTCAGCACCCCCAGTAGTAGCACCCTCAGGCTCAGCACCCCCAGGCGTAGCACCCACACGCTCAGCACCCCCAGAGTCAGCACCCCCAGGCTCAGCACCCTCAGCAGCACCAGAGTCACCAGTAACCTCGACAGGCTCGACTGCGTCTACCTGGGACACACCTGAAGGGGCAGGACCCTGAGGGGGGAGGGGGTCTACCGGGGGGGGGACCTGATACAAGGAAGAGCGGTGGCGGGGGGAGGGACGGAGTGCGGTAGGGGAAGAGGCGGTAGTAGGGGACCGACTCGTCAAACGTGACGTCCTGGGAGGACAGAACACGGCGAGAGGTGGGGTGGTAGAACTGCCACCCTGGCGCGTCAGGGGGGAAGCCAAGGAAGACGCAAGGAGCAGCACGAGGGGACAGCTTGTCCGCAGACAAGTCGCGGACAAACGCCCGAGATCCCCAGACACGGAACGCAGACGCATCGCCAACCTTCCCCGTCCACAGCAAAGCTGGGGAGGTCTCCGGCATGGAGACCCTGGGGTGAAGGTTGATCTGATGCGCCGCGTACCGAACCGCAAACGGCCACAGAAAATGGGGGGCAGCCGCATGCATCATGGACGTACGGGCGACGTCCATGACCATGCCAATGCGGCGCTCAGCAATCCCATTTTGCTGTGGAGAGTCCGGAAGCGTGAATGTCTGGCGGATGCCTCGTGCACGACAGTAGGCTCGCAGAAGGCCAGAGGAGAACTCTCCACCTCTGTCAGAGTGCAGACGCAGAACAGGATAGTCCGAGCCGAAGCTCTGCCTGAGCTGGAGACGAGCTGTGCGGATCCAGTCGATCAACACCTCAGTGACATCACCCTTGCTGCGCAAGGGGAAGACCGTGGTGTAACGCGAGTAGTCGTCAACCACCAGCAGGAAGTAGCGCTCGTGACCCTGTCCACGGACGCGGGCCGGGCCCCACACGTCCATGTGAAGCGTCTGCAGCGGGGCCTCTGTCGGAGGAAACTGGGAGGAGTGAGGGGCAGCCCGCTGCCGCCCCTCGACACAAGGGACGCAGGTAGGGCCGGGCCCCGGAGGAAGGGGAGGGAGGGACCGGGGAAGACCAGAGACAAGGACACGGGAGGCCATGCCTCGGAGACGAAGCAGGGAGGGGTGACCAAGGCGGTGGTGCCAGAGGAGAGTCTCGTGCGACAGGAGGCGACACGAACAGGGGGCAGACTCAGGACCAGACCTGGACGCTGCAGCAAACACCTGACCCGACGCAGCTACCTGACCAGACGCAGTGACTGGAGGAGACGCAGTGGTCAGTGTGTACAGGCTCGACCCCGGCCGACGTGTAAACGTGGCCAGGTGTCGGCCTGTCCGAGCGTCCGTGCAGTGGGTCACCCGCTGACTCGCAGGAGTGAACTGGTGAACCCCCGCATCCTGTAGGTCAGCACCACTCACCAAGTTCGTAGAGAACGAGGGGAGGTAAAGACCAGACAGGGTGCCAGAGGGGGCCGCCGGACACGGGAGGACAGTGGAGAAGTGAGCAAGGACAGGACCCCCAGAGGGGTCTGCCAGAGAGACTGCAACTGGCCGGCCAAGCGGCGTGAGTGTGGTGCGGTCTCGAAAGAAGGAGCGAGAAGCCCCCGAGTCAAGGGTGAAGGTGTGGGAGGCCGAAGCCGACGCAGTACCTGAGAGAGCAGACTCACCAGCACCTGAGTGAGCAGACGCACGAGCACCTAGAGCAGCAGCCTCGCTAGCACCTAGAGCAACAGCCTCACCAGTACCTAGAGCAGCAGTCTCAATGCCCGGGTCGGGCGGAAAACACCGGTAACAGTCACCCTCATCACTAATAGTCACAGCATACATGGCAGCAAGAATAGCATCAAAGTCAAGGTCAAAGACAGCTACACCCGCCCTAGACAACTCGCCCCAGCGGGGGATCTCAGTGGCCTCAGGGAACTGGTGACACCAAGCGTCCGTCAGGCGGCCAAAGCAGCGCTGGGTGGAGTGCGCACCCCCGCACTGCTCACCCGCGCGGTCGCCGGTGCGTAGGACGTAGGTGCACGGACCAGTACCCCCACCCCGCTGGCGTGCAGCGTACCACTCACGGAGCTGCTGAGGGGGGGGGATGTCACGAGTGCGCTGCTGCCGCTGCTGCTGCTGCTGCTGCTGGCGCTGACCACCACCGGAGCCGACCCTCTGCCCAGCGCCACCCCGACCAGTTCCACCTCCTCCGCCGCCGCCTCCTCCACCGCTGCCACCTCCGCCACCTCCGCTCCCACCGCCACCGCCGCCGCCGCCTCCGCCTCCACTGCCGCCACCGACACCTCCACCCCCGCCACCACTCCCACCACCACCCCCACCCCCTCCACTGCCGCCACCGCTACCTCCGCCACCCCCGCCAGCCCCTCCAGCACCCTTGCCCCCCTTGCCCTTGCCGGTGCGGCGTCTCCCGCTCGGGGCAGACGCAGCGCCGACCGACTCGAGACCAACGAGGTCGGCCGCAGCAGCAGAGGCAACAGAGGGCAAAAGAGGGGAGGGGGAACACCCCTCAAAGATGGGGGTGCGAGGGTCACCACGAGAGGCTCCTACAGTTACTATGCTCTTTTCTGCTGCTAGGAGGGCCTTCTCGAGGAGGTCAACGGTGAGAGTGGTGGGGCAAACTGAGAGGAAGTGGTCCCTGACTACGCGAAGGGAGTCAGGGAGACGGGTGACTATGTAGTAGAGGGTGATGTACATGGGGGGGGGGGTTCTTGGCGCAGAACTCAGCAGGAAGCGCAGCGCGGTAGCGAGTGTCACTAGTGCGGAGGTGCGTAATGAGGTCAGCGACTGTGGGAAAGGCAGCAAGGTCAGGGAAGAGGTACGGTAGCATGAGGCGGCTCAGTGCAGCAGTGGCAGGGGAGGAGTAGCGCGCAACTACAGCGTCGTACAAGGTGTGAGCACTCTTGTACTGGCTAAAGTGCGCACGCTCAGAGGTAGGCAGGTGGCGACGCACAGCAAGACGTGCAGCAGCATCGCGCGTGGCCCACTGTGAGCGAACAGTGGCGTCAGCATCAGCAGCGGGGGCAGGAGAGGCACCAGAAGTGAGGTCAAAGAGGGAGAGGCCGTCTGCCCTATCGCATTGTAAGAAAAGCTGCAGGTCATCTATCCAGACGTCAAAGTCAATGGCCCGGCCCTCAGCGTCAAAAGAGAGGACACTAGGGGTAGCCATGACAGCAGTAGACTAGCAGCGCAAACAGTAGGGTGAGGGCAGTGCTGTGAAAGAGGCGCTGCTCTTACCGGACAGGGCGGCTCGGGCGGCTCGGCTGCAGGGCGGCTCGGCGGCTCGGCTGCTGGGCGGCTCGGCGGCTCGGCTGCTTGGCGGCTCGGCGGTTCGGCTGCTGGGCGGCTCGGCGGCTCGGCTGCTGGGCGGCTCGGCGGCGCGGCTGCTGGGCGGCTCGGCTGCTGGGCGGCTCGGCTGCTGGGCGGCTCGGCTGCTGGGCGGCTCGGCTGCTGGGCGGCTCGGCGGGGCCGCTGAGAGGGCGGCGTCCGGGGCCGCTGGGAGGAGGTGGCGGGGCCGCTGAGAGGAGGCGGCGGGGCCGCAAAGGTAGGTGGCGGGGCCAGCAGGTAGGTGGCGGGGCCAGCAGGTAGGTGGCGGGGCCGCACAGGTAGGTGGCGGGGCCGCGGGTAGGTGGCGGGGCCGCAGGTAGGTGGCGGGGCCGCACAGGTAGATGGCGGGGCCGCGGGTAGGTGGCGGGGCCGCTGGTAGGTGGCGGGGCCGCAGGTAGGTGGCGGGGCCGCAGGTAGGTGGCGGGGCCGCACAGGTAGGTGGCGGGGCCGCGGGTAGGTGGCGGGGCCAGCAGGTAGGCACCGGGGCCGCACAGGTAGGCGTCGGGGCCGCAGGTAGGCGCCGGGGCCGGAAAGGGCGGCGTCAGGGCCGCAGGGCGGCGCGAGGGCCGCGGGGTAGGCGACGAGGCCGCAGGGCGGCGGATCGGGGCCGGGTAAGGGCGGCGCGATGGCCGCGGGGTAGGCGACGAGGCCGCCGGGTGGCGGGTCGGGGCCAGGAAGGGCGGCTCGAGGGCCGCAAGGCAGGCGACAGGGCCGCTAGGGCGGCGCGACGGGGCGAGAAAAAAGGGAGGGGGGGGGAGCGAGACTCGGGCTAGGACTGAGCGCGCTCCGGGCAGAAAAAAATGTCGAATT